ATTCCAAGACGCTTTTTAGGATTTTTAGACGTAGCAACGTCATGAACGGTCGCAGCTTTATATACTATAGTTTATCAGATAGTCGATGATCTACAATGTGGTACTAAACTTATCGCCCAAAGTTATGATGGGGCCGCTAGGCTGGTGAATTGGGGGGCCTGCAGGCCAAAGTAAACGAGACTTTTCAGAATGCAATATTTGTACATTGTTTTGCGCATCGATTAAATTTAGTTCTAGCTCAATCTGCAGCGTGTCTTAAAGAGTGCAAAATATTTTTTTCAAGTATTAGTGGAATGGCTGCCTTTTTTTTTCAAAATCATCAAAACGGACACGAAAATAAAAACTTTTTCAAGAAATTTAACCAGTCAAGAGCGGCTTTAAAAATTGTCCCTGTTAACAATAGAATGTGACTTTGTGAAGATGTCCAAAAATTCAAACTTTTACGACGAAGTTATTTCCGACATCGCAAAAAAGGAGAGGCGGATTAAACTACATTGTAAATAGGTAGGTATGAGCATGTTAACTACTTAACAAACTCTCTATTTCGCTGCGGGTTCAATCCTCGCCACCGGCGCTGGCAATGTCGGTGGATATGGTTGTGTGTCTGCGTTTTTTTTAATTAGTATAACCCTCGCCCGTGCAGCTTCGGCTTTGGAATCGGGGGTTGTCTAATTTTTGTGGTGTTTTTATGTTTTATGTTTATTGAGGAGTGGCGGTCCTACAAGTGTACTTTTTTCTAGATATCATAACTTTACAGCTTTCGACATTTGTTTTAAAATGAGTATACGGAAGCCACGTCCCTTTTCTTAAAATAATTTTTGCCTCGCTTCGCTCGGGGCCTCGCGCTACCCATCACTCTATATCACAAACTGCTTCCCCTGTATCAAAACTCACCGCACGCCCCTGATCAATACATAATAGGTCAAATTAGCTCTACGAGACTGCCACGGCCTGTTAAACTTCATAACCAATTCTTTTGATGAACTACGTATATTTTTTTATTTGCAACAGTAATAAAATATTCAAAACATGATTATGGAATAACTAAACATTTATTGTTTGAGACACATATTTCAGAAATATAAAAATTGGTGGTTTTGAGAAGGGTTTGTCAGATATTGTCAACTCTTCATCATCTTAAAATATTTGACAATTAAGTTTCTTTTTTTAAGATTAATATATTTTTTTTAGGTGTGACATTTTTTGGAAAGGAAAAAGCATTTTTTTCAAAAACCAATCTCTAATTGATCCTATTGGCGCAGAGGTTTTTTACTTCATTGAAAACTACGTGTCCATATTTATGTAACTATTATATTTTTTAATGTGTTTTCTTATTAGAAACCACCCACAAATTAGAGATAAAACAAATAATATTATGTAGTTTTATTTAAAAAACAATAAAAAAAAGTCATAAAAGTAACCTGTCGAAGTAAAATTTGTAATTTATTAGATGTATGGAAAAATAATTTCTATTTTATATTTGTCTTATAATTACGTTCATTCTACAAACCATAGTATTTACTGAAAGAAATCGTTTTATTAACATCCATTTGAGTCGGGCTTTATACATTGCAATTTTAATCAAAAAATGTTTATAGTTATTCAGTTTGAAATTAGAATTGTGTCTGCAATGTCCAAAAAGTGTCACAGTATAGTATATTCGTGGCCAAAATTTTACTCGATAAACTATACGATTATGGCATACGGGGTCCTCCGTTGAACTGGCTCCTTTCGTTTCTTAAACTGCGTATGTTTCTTTGCAGTATACTAGTCGTGATTCCGTGGAAAAGATAAATTCTAACTCTTGCCTTGTTGAAATGGGTGTACCGCAAGGTTCAGTTCTTGGTCCTGTACTTATTATTTTATATGATAAATCAAAAAGAAAAATTCTCATAAAATTCCTTTATTACTGTGACCGGTTTCGTGAACAAATTAATTACTTCACATCATCAGACACAGGAATTTTTATAAATAAAAAACCAGGGTCAGTAATTAATTTGTTCACGAAACCGGTCACAGTAATAAAGGAATTTTATGAGAATTTTTCTTTTTGATTTATCATGAATAATTACTCATATGGGATCAACCTACCTACGTTATTATTTTATATGTCAACTCACTTGAATCAGTGTTAGGTAAAACTTCCTTTACTATGTATGCTGACGATTTGTCTTTAATTATTTCGAACAAATGGTGCGACAGACTGAGTAATGATATTAACAAAACTTTGGAAAATGTGTGTAACTGGTTTAATCAGAACTATTTATATTTCAATGCTGATAAAACACAAATGATCAGATTTCATAATAGACAGAAAAGTGTGATAATGTAGTAGTAAATATTAATAATACTGTTCTTGATAGTGCTGCTGCAGATAGTGTTAGTTTTGAGACATTTAGACAAATGTCTCAATTGGAAAGTTCACTGTAATCTTCTGGTTTCTACTTTGAATTCAATAAATTTTTTATTCAAAAATATGAAAGAACTTTTAACGAAACAACAATTAATAAATTTAAATTATGCACAGGTAGAGTCGCGACTACGATATGGTGTCTGTTTCTGGGGTGAGTCCACACTATCACATACTGTTTTTACATCACAAAAACGCATTCTGCGCAACATGGCGTTTGCCTTGCAGAAACATTCTTGTAGAATTTAAACTTCTTACATTAACATCTTTATTTGTATTTGAAATGTGTACACACGTTTTTAAAAATATACATAAGTTCTACCTTAATAAAGACATACATAGCGTAAATACTACGCATAGAAATGATATTCGTATACCTTTTTCTAAATTATTAGTCACGAATAAATCACCAAATTATTTAGGACTGAAAATTTTTAATAATTTGCATGATAATTTAAAAAATGATACTAATTTATACAAGTTTAAGAAAAAACTGAAATTATTTTTAGTTGATAAATGTTTTTATTCCTTATCTGAGTTTTTTGCTTAGATTAAGTAGTATTTATTGTTCTTTTGTCTTTTGGATTTTATTGTTTTTGTTTTTACCTACTGACTATTGTTATACAAGTTGAATTGTCCTTAAACAAAATAAATGAATTTTGATTTTTTTTGAATTTTTTTTTTTGAAAATATGTTACAGCTGTTCCTTCATGAATATCACAGGGTTCCAATCTGGGTCCACTGGTTCTTCTCGTTATGTTAATGATATTTATAATATTCACAACTGTACAATTATTTTTTTGCGGACGATCCAAACAAGTCTGTTAATAAAATTTCGCGGTAGGAATCTGCCAACCGAAATAAACATGGTTCTGCAATGGTATACAATGACTCATCTCAGTTTTAATATTTCCAAACGCAAAAGAGTTACTACAATAACGACATGACAATTATTTACAGTTACGAAACCGATTTGCAGTATGTCTCACAGGCGCAACTCAACAAATACCTGTGATCATCTCCCAAAAGGAATGTAAAACTGTGAATGTCGCGTTTCTCTTTCATTGGAAGGAGTCTCACGAAATACAGGCCTATTGAACAAGAGAGATCATATAATATAGATGAATGTGGGAAGGCTGGAGGAAGTATCTAACAAGTAATAACCATGTACAAGGTCAGAGGGGAACATGGCACAGAGAAAACATGAATCGGTAATGAATTCTATAACTTCATTGTTCACGGTAGAAATCGAACCTTGTAAAGTGATGTTCAACAGCTATTAACCTTTAGAACAAATGGGTCAGTTGCTCTGCTCTGCCTACTAGCATGAATAGAACTGATGGTATCAGAGACGCAACTCATGTTGAACAACCTCCATAAAAATAAGTGCTGATAAAGAGTCGAGTCGGCAACTATCCCTATAGTTCGATTTAGGAATGAATTTTAAGTGCCGCTTCTCGCTTTATATGGTAATAGTAGTTGCGCTGGATTAAAGTGGTATTAGGTAAAATCTCCAGATTTGGTCTTGCGGTTATCCTCTGGTGTCGTTGATAGGCCATGGTAGCGAAAATGGTTAAAAAATTATCTATACTATGTTGATGAAGTAAATAATGTGGTATCTACCATTTTTTCTTTGATATTAATAATATGCCAGAATTACAACACGTGATACCTTACTACTTCCGGGCATTAAGCGATTTAAATTGGCAAATAGCTACCTTCGAAATTATCAGGCAGATCAAGGAAGTGCCCAATCATATTTTGTTATCGTATGGTCTATTACACAACCATCTAATTTAGAAAATTTTTCTAAGCCACTAACGCGACTGGAATAGAATAAAAACTCCGCAATTTATTTATTATTCACTTTATTGACAGTTACACTTATTGCAAAATTGCAGGCTGGCCAAGTACATCCACTGGCGTCCATATGCCGAAAATTGGGTGGAATTGCAATCGTGACAACTTTACCAATATTACCTTTATATTTATATGTAATGTATTTAAATTTATTTTAATCAAGGAGGTCAAAGACTCTATGATTTAGCATATCGGAACGGAATGATATAAAAATCGATTTGCTTTGCAATAAAATTTATTGTCACTTTCATTTTAGTAAAATAGAAAAGATAAATCTGTATTCTATAGATAGTACGTATTATATAATTCAGATGTACAGGGTGTGCGACAAACATATATTTTCAAAACGGATAGAAACAATTTTCAAATTTTATACATTTTAATTCTGCACTGGATACTGACTGTTCATATGGAGATGCTGAGATGAAATTCAATACAATTATTGAGTTTTGGATAAAAATTATTTTGGTCATTAAAAATTTAGAACAGTATTACCAGTGACGTGGCTACGGAGACTGAGCTACAAATTTATATTGAAATTTTCATAATAGAAATATTTCGAGCCCATTTTATGACAATAAAAAAAAGTCCACTTGTGTCTAGATAAAATCCATCGAGTTCGAGGAATACAAGATACCTTGTGTGGGAGAGGGCTTCACATTTAGAGAGAATGGACAGACGGCTACTGTCCGAGTATGCTAGGAATAATTTCTGGTTTAGAAAAAAATCCTAGCTCCTCGACCGAGAATCGAACCCAGGACTCCTGGTTGAGAGGCAAGTGTCCTCACCACTGAACCACGAAGCCACTAAAAAACTATGGATTTGCAAAATTGTTTATTTTTTAAACAATAACGGAAAAAAAATGAATGTTCACAAAAACTACTGCAAACGATCTCCATCCCTTTCCTTATAAACGGAAGTGTTTCGTAATGTTGCACGGACATTAATAATTCAGTTTCGTAGATCTTCCTTCTATACGAGGGTTGTATACCAGAATCAACGGATCTTGGCGTGCACGTCATCACAACTGCAATTAGAAAATATGATAAAATAATTCGTTGCCTTTGCTTATCTTTTTTCTGTATGCATTTAAACAGTGTTATATTTTTCAGTTTGAAACGACATTGGCAGTGATGTCATTTGACCACGCGTTAATATCTATTTTAATTATTTCGGTAGCTTATACATTGTGACGTGCACGCCAAGATCCATTAATTTAACTTAATAGACTAATGAGTTTAAATGCCCTCAAAGAAAAAATCCAGAGAATTAAGATCTGGTGATTGAGGAGGCCATAACTGTGGTCCCCGACCAATCTAGCGATCAGGATGTCATATCCAAAATAGAATGAAACTAAAATGTATTGGGACCACCGGCGGTTTTTCTATAGGGTCATTTGGTCAATGACCTCCCACAACAAATAAAAAAATAGAGCTATTCATTTTCTGAAGTTTAAAAATATATAATATATATATTTTTAATATTCTTAAAAAATATATTAAAGTTTCTAGTTCATTCTATGCACAATACTATTCAAATATCTAGATCACAGGATTTCGTATCCCCTCCGATCACCGAGCCCCTACATTCTATTTCATTACATTATTCATTTATAGAATTTAAAAATCTTGGGTCAATCCATAACTTGTCCTCAAAGCTAGCTACGGACCGAATTTACAACGAATTAAAGTGAAATAGACATATGCGCCAATCTTCAGAAAGCAAAAGAGACAGAACACACTGGCGGGGACAATGTCCCTGACACATTTTACGGAAACGAGGTAAAAAATGCATTTTTTTTGCTTCCCATGCCTGTTATTTGGTGATGATCCTGATCCTATATGGTCCAAAATAGGTGTAACTGATTTGAAACATTTAAAAATAAAAGTACAGAAACATTCACTCGCATCAAGTCATATGAATAACTATTGTAGTCTAGCAACACTTGGTACAGTTGATATTAGAATGCAGTTAGACAGTGCCTATAGAAAAAGTTTAAAAGCTTACAACGAAAACATTTCTAAAAATAGATATTTTAAGTAAAATAATACTGTGTATTATTCTGTGGAGCTTTTGAGCTAGCACTACGCGGACATGACGAAACTGAGTCCTCTGATAACCCGGGAATATTTCGAGGTCTAGTAAATTTTGTATCTGAACTAGATGCCATTTTTAAAGACCATTTGCAAAACAGTACTGTGTTTAAGGGCACTTCGAAGGCAATTCAAAATGGACTTTGAGATTCGATACTGGCGATTATTCACGAAGAAATAAAATCTGAAATTAATCAATCTGACTTCATTGCAGTGTAAGTGGATGAAACCACAGATAGTTCCAATAAAGTACAAGTAGTTTTTGTGTTTAGATACGTTTTAGACGGTGTTGTATGTGAGAGATTTTGGAAATTTATTCAACCTCAAGGAACGACATCGCAGCACTTGACAAATGTAATTTTAAAAGAGTTAGAATGTCTGAAAATTGATGAAAGTCCTGAAAAATTGATAGCACAAAGTTACGATAGAGCATCAGTAATGAATGGTGCTTTTGGAGGTGTACAAGCCAAAATTAAAAAAAGTTATCCTTCAGCAAATTTTATTCATTGTTACGCTAAATTTAATTTTACAAAAAGCATCAAGTCAGGATAAAAGCATAAATTTTTTTTTGCTAATTTACATAGCGTTTCTTCATTCTTTGGAAAATTGACAAAAAGAACAGCCATGTTAGATAACGTTGTTAAGGTGAGATTACCTAAAGCGGCTCCAACACGATGGAATTTTAATACAAAGTGCATAGAGACTGTTTATACCTATCGAACAGAATCATTAGATTGTTTAGAAAAAAATCATTGATAATGAATCAGAAAACAACACTCTAAACCAAGCTATTGGTTTAAAAAACTACTTACAAAATGAACATTTTCTTTACTGGTTAAATTTTTTTCATTTAGTTATGCCTCATTGTGATATATTGTTCAATCAATTACAAAAATGTAATATCGATGTCATAACAATAAATAAGTGTATTGGCGTTTTTAATAGTAAAATTGAAGACATCAGAAATAAAATTTTGAATAACTGTTTGGAGGAGACATCCATGCAGTCTGCCCAGAGATGTAAAACGAAAGAATCAAAAAGGAGCATTTCATTAGAAGTTTGTGATATAATTACATCTAAGATCAAAAACAGGTTTGACTTCAGTAATCATGTAGCAGTGTCTCAGTTATTTCACGCAGATGGATTTAAAGATTATAAAAAAAATCTTTCCTCAAGATATGTTTAAATTAGTTAAAACGGAGTATCTAGTTATAAATCATTTGAAACTTAAAACTGAATTAGAAGTATTATATAGCCGAGAAGATTTTTCCAATAGTGAGGGTACAGTTGCTTTGTTACAGCTTTTTATTAACAATAATTTGTGCAATACTTTTTCTGAAAGTGTCAAACTGTTAAAAATCTTGTGTATTCTCCCTATGACTACCGTTGAAAGTGAACGTTGTTTTTCCACCTTAAAAAGAATAAAGACATTTTTAAGAAATACCATGGGTCAGGAAAGGTTATCTTCTTTGGATATGCTTACCATAGAAAGGGCATTAATAAAGAAGATAAAAGACTTTAATGAAAAAAGTAATTGACCACTTTGCATCTCAAAAAGACCGGAGGATCGACTTGGAATTTAAATCACTTTAAAAGGTAGGTAGTACAGTAAACTTTTCTAATTGACCTCCCTATCTCTTGACCCACGAACCGCCACTGATTGGAACACCATCACGTATAAACCATAAAGTTCCATTTATTATAGGCCGATATCTTAATATGCTAAGCAGTTCCTATTCCAGAAAAAATTGTAAGTTGTGCAGGTAAAAAGTAGGGCCGAATAAGAAAATCACCTACAATTTCAGTCTCAGCGAAAACTGATATTGAAAATTTACACTTATATTGACCACCGCCAATACTTTTGGTATCATACAACAGGTGGTAATCACAGAACACATTCTGAATAAAATAACTTGTCACGCACACAATAGCAGTGGAAATTTCGCGACAATCGCTACCCAATCTTTCCTATAATTTCATTTCAATAGTGAATATAATAGATACATCATTATCATTTATCATCTGACAATACAATACAATAACTTAATTATTAAATTGAATAGTACGTGTTGTTTTTATTAGACACCTGCTCCGAATTTATTCTTATTTTTATATTAAGGCTGAGCAAGTAGCTAGCTGACTGTGCATTTTTTTATGCTCCGATGAACCTTTACAGATGATTAATACAAGATACAAACAGGCTACTATCTGAGGAATGAATTGATGAATGAATGCATCACAGAAATGTGTTCATATGAGTTGTAATAAGAAATAAAGGATGTCAAGATTACGACTAACTTATTCACGGTTGCAATACTTATTTATATCGATTTGATATTAATTAATGTCACAGTTGTCAATAGTGATGTTGGTTTAAAATGTACTTACCACATTTCTAGTGAACGTATCAAATTAAATACTTCTTGATTTTCTTACCTGGAAATAAAAAAATATGATTAGATATATATCGAAATTAGCAGAATTCTTTATTATACAATGATCGATAATGATAATCTAGACTTCCATGGATTTTTATTTATGGTTACTATAATTGGAAAACATTGTATCCGACAAATTTTGGCATATTTCATAGTTTTGAAGAGAAAAATTATTTCTAATCTAATTACTTCAAAACCTCACTTTTGTCTTCGACTATAATATTCTTAAAATACTGACGTAGTTTTTCACGAAACATCTCTGCAACATCATGAAACATCTCAACAACTCTGATATTCAAATGCATTTGAAAGCTTGGAAATCGCATCGCCAGCTCCCAGAATCCCGCGTTCTCAGATAGGCCGAGGCAAGCGTTAGCCGGCCTACTAGAATCTCCAGAGCAGCTGTTGGTGTTGTCCTCATTACGCCAGTGATCCCTAGGCAAGCTATTCTCTGGACTTTTGTCAGCTTTTGGAACGTGACCTTTCTGTCCACGCTCAGCCACTAGATCACAAATCATTATTAGAGCCCTGGTCTGACGACTGTCGTGTACAGGGTATCAAATTTCGATGTTTGTATTGGGTAACTCGGTAATTGTAAGAGATACAAAAAAAGGAATGGCACATTCTCGATATCTTTTTTTGAGACAAATTCACTGGCGAAAACCAAAATTTGCTATCGGTTTTTGTTTTCGAGTTATAAACAAAAGTTCGATTTCTCGACTTTTATACACGTCAATATCTTGGTTGTTTGTTAAGTTATGAAAAAACAACTTTTGCATTCCTCACGCACTTTTTTCCCTATAATACAGTGGCGTCGAGAAAATTTTAAAAAAGGTGCACTTTCGAGTTATAGCATAAAGTTGTATTTTTTAAAACTTTTGTTTATAACTCGAAAACAAAAGACGATAGCAAATTTTTGTTTCCATCAGTGAATATGTCTCAAAAAAGAGATCGAGAATGTGTCTTCCATTTTTTTATATCTCTTACAGTTACGGAGTTACCCTATACAAACATCGAAATTTGCCCACCCTGTACAGTCAATGTAGATGGGATGAGGCCCCAGTTCCTACCTCACCCCCGGTGTAATTGCCAGAAGGTTACAGTTGACTAATTGATTACATTGTGTATTGCGCAGGTCCAGAGTTACGCTTCAGAGTCGATTTTGACTTTATATTATTTTTCTTTTATAGTTCCCCAAAGAAAGAAAGCACAAAGGTTAGTTTCTGCTGATCCATCTGGCCGAGTATTCCTTATTCAAAAATTATTTCACATTG